ATTTGATGATATATGTATTATAGGTTGCACAATTTTGTATTTTACCCAAATTATTATTTGATGACACGTGAATTTTCAGTTTGCACATATTCTTTCATTTATTTATCATGGTTAATGTGAACAGTGCACATTTTTATGTGTTGATATTATTTATTCTGGTAATCAAGAAGGTAGTAGCAGCAGTTCACTTTTACATTCATTAATGTTTATTTATTCATTTTTTTATTCTTTCATTATATAATATTGGGCTAAGCGCAAAGATTTTCTTCTTTTTCATATAGTGTCACTTTAATGCAAGACTACCTACAAGTCCCATCTGCCACTGCAGCAAAGGGGCTCACTACATTTGAATTCCATTGTTTACTTCCTCCAGCTCCATAACTAAAAGGCCTATACCTTTGTAGGAGACCCGGGGCTGGAGGAATAGTCAGCAAAAGCCAGAGCATTGCACCTGCGATGCACTGATCACAGGAAAATCAAACAAATTAATAAATGCACGTTTTTTTTTCTTTTTGCAAAATTGATGCATTTATTATGTTTTGGCACGAGGCAGAATGTGCCCTAAATAAGTATACCTTTCAATTTGGTGCAAGGTCCACTTGAATTATGGAACATTTTCTTTTTTTTTTTTTTTTTCATACATGATTTATTCTTGCTATCCAAATTCACTAGAGGCCTACCTAAATACGGCTTCCCAGTCACGTGCTGAGAGAAAACAGACATTTCAGTCTTTTTATAAAAGAAAAAAAATGAAAGTGATTGAAAATGTGTATGTAAATAGATAGGGTCATATTTTCCATAAATGTCATTGAAGAAAAAAAACAAGGAAGTACATTTAACACTGGGTGTAGACAGAGCACGAAAGATACTACTGGGAGTTGGTGGGTGGCTGATTAGTATCTGATATGGCATATGTAAAACAAATCAATGTAGCTCTGCAGTACAAACAGACCCTTCCACTTGCGGCATAAGCCCTCTCCCTAAATAGCACATTCTTTGGGAACAATGCAGAGTCTGTATCAAACTGGAGAGCAAACAGGGCTCGGCTGAAACAGTGCAGACTTGACAAAAGTGGCAAGTACCCGCAAACTACTGTACAGACGTACACTTGTTTTGTTTCAGACATTTCACAGCCATTACCGTTGTGATTGTATGCAGTGACTCATTTTCTGTGTTTAAACTAAAATTGTATTCGCACACTTTTTTTTTTAATGGCTTTACAATGCTCCCTTCTACTGGAACACCAATTCACACAATCAAATGGCAGAAAGTATTATTTCAACCAACCCATTGGATTAAAACTTCAAAAGGCACACAAACTTAAAAAAAAAAAAAAAGTTCCTTTTCTGCCTGGATCTAGTACAGCGACATGTAAAATGTTTATAGTAACATAATGTCTCATTTTTACCTAAAGACATAACTCCCACTTACTAACATAGGATGCAAGGGTCTTCAGAGACTGGGTTCCAGACAGATGGACCACAGCCCTGGACGTGTATAGCACCCTTGCGGCTGGCTACACACTTTGCACGCCAAGGTGAGCGCCTATGCAGGATCCAGTACTCAGAGGAACATTACAGGCTGTCCCCATATTGTGGGGTGTGCCCAAGGTTTACTGAAGTTGTGCCGATTCAGATGTACTGCTCTTATTTGTGGCACTAGAAGGCAGTGAGGAGTTGATTGAAGAATCTGAAATGTTAATTTAAGCACTGCCTCACACATATATATGTGATACCGTTTATTGTACATTCACATCAGTCCCTGCCCTCAAGGGGCTTACAATCTACGGTCCCTAAGGCATGACATAGACGGGCCGAATTTTCGGCCGATAAACAAAAAAATCGGTCGGCCCCGTTGCTGATGCTGCCACCCATGTCCTCGAAAAACAGCCGTTTTTCATGGATTTTCCAGCGTGAATGATAAAAATAAATGAGGAGATCCGCGAAAAATGGCCGACAGGCTAGCCCCACTAACGGCGTGATTATCGGCTGATTTTTCATGCGGATGAAAATTCGGAAGATAAACGACCCATCTACGGCCTGCATAACGCTCATTCATGCACACATAAACTAGGGTCAATTTAGACAGGAGCCAATTAACCTACCAGAATGTCTTTGAAGTGTGGCAGAAAACCGGAGAACTCAGAGGAAACCCACACAGGCGCAGGGAGAACATGCAAACCACAGGCAGGCAGTGTTGTGGTTGGAATTCGAACTGGCAACCCTAGTACTACTAGATGTAAGTGGTGCCCCACTTAGCCACTGTGCTGCCCAATATAGAAAAATAGAATAAAATACAAAATAAATAAAAAAAATCAAAAATAAAACTCCAGGTCTATGAGTACTTTGCCTGTGTCATGTAGTGTGTGATTAAGATAAGCAAATGGCCCTCACAATAATTTTATTCTTCTGCTGTTGATTTCATCTGGGGCAAGCTAACATGACTCCTAAAGCTAAAGATGGGACAAGGTCCCCAAAGGTCTGACATGCCACAGAACTGTCTGCTGCCTTGGCAACAAAGCAGATTGCTGTGGCAATGGGCCCAGTTTGGCAATGATGCAGATTTCTCAACAGCATGGCAACAGTAGTAGGACAAATCTCATTGCCATGGCCATAGGGCTGATTACTCAGTTGTTGTAGAAATAAAAAAAGATTCCTCTCACTGCTATGGCAACAATACAGTGCGAAAGACTGCCTGGCACCCTGTCTGGGTGCCCCCGATAGAGAACTAATCCCTTGCCGCTGGGACACGGGACCAAAGTATTATAGGTGGGCATTGCACCCAAGAACTAGACGACACTAGCTTAGGTGCAAAACTGGAACTCTTTATTGAACAGAAATACAGGTTTTTATACACTTCAAAAATAGGGGCAGTCCCCACATGAACAATCTTACACTGATTAGATGAAGAGGTAAAGCGGACACAAGACTAATCCCATCATGTAGGAACCTCCAGGAGGACTAGCCAACAGACAAAAACAATAAGTGACTCAATTAACTCAATTAACAATGGGATAAAGACACAGTAAACACATTACACTTTATAAACAGATTACAGCAAGAGACCTCAGCATCGGGTTGTTTTGAGCTGATTATATTAACATCTGCTCTGAGTCTAGGGGGGCTGAAGCAGTCGATGCTGGTTTTGACACAAATCTGGATGCTGTTCGTCCAGTTCTCAGACTCTGTGTGTTTTGGGGAGACATGGACTTGAATCCGAAGTAAAATACTCCAAGAGGTCCCCCCAGGCACACATCTCCCAAAGAATAGAGCCCCCTCAGATGCCAGGGCCAGTGGTCAGTAGCCAAGAGGCTAGCCTGCAGTCCCCTCCAAAAGCCCCTGTCTGGGTTGGGTCTGTCACAGGCAGATCTCTCTATGCTGATGACACTCTTAAGTTTAAATTCCCCTTAACCACAGGGCTATGTTATGTCATGTCTTACAATGGGAAAAGCAGGAACTACCAGAGTCAGGTGACCTCTATCCTCAAGAGTCATCCTAAGTCTCCCCTGCCATCTGTTGTGTTCTGACAGCCAACACCTGCACTCAGAATCAGAATACCCAAATGCTCACTGCATCTGATTGTATACAGTCGCTGTTTAGGTGACAAAATGCTGCTTGGCTCCCTCAATTTTGAAATCGAAGGATGTCGAGTGGGAGGGTGCAGACAAGGCCACCCACAGCGCAAAGTCTGGCCAGTTCATCAGGAAGACATCTGAAACGTGCTTGAGTATGGCTAGTTTAAGGACCCACTCAAACCTTTTTATTTGGAGAAATTCATTTTTGAAGCACTGTATCCACCAGATCCATAAAATCATATTTGAACTTCTAACAGAAAATGTGTGCACTTGTAAGTGATATATTCATTGTATTTCATAAGAAGTCATTTGCTGCATCTGAACTACAGGGAAAAAAAATCCCTTCTGATTCAATGACTGAACTGTTTATTTACCTGACAGGAGGGGCTCGTAGGACTTTCCACACCGCCTGAGGATTAGCTAATGACTTTCTCAAACAGACTTACTGTGAGTTTAAGTAATTTCAGAATCAGGTGGTTTGGTTTTGGATTATTAAAATTCAAGTTTAGCTCATTAAAGTGGTCACTGTGAGAAACCACATTGATGAAAAGTAAAATAAATAAAACTTACCTCATTTATCCAAATATACTGTGAATTTCTGGTGACTGGCACACAAGCAGCTTTTTTATCTTACCATTTAGTATATGCATCAGATACTTTAGAATATGAAGTAGTGGTGCGCAGAAATGAAAATTCTGGACCGAAACCGAAAATTCAGGATGAACTTGGCTGAAAACCGAAACGGACAGTTTTTTATAATATATAAAAAATATTTAAAAATAAAAAAAAAACTGTCCATTTCGATTTTGGTGGTGCTGATATATAAAAAATATAATGTATTATATTCAAATTTTTGATTTTATTGAGGGTGGGCACTGAAGCATAGTAATGGCCATGGAGACAGAGCCATTATCGGCACCTTTTTTTTTTCTATCGGCAAGACACCAATAGGTTTCAGTGGCCAATATATTGGTGCATCACTAGATTCTAAATGAATAAAGCATAACTGGATATTAAGATTTATAAGTAATAAAAGGGATTACTGGTCCAGGGAATATTCTATTACTCGATATTCCCCTGCTGGAATGGACCATGCTTTTTAGGGTTCTTTTTGTTTTGGTTCTTTTTTCTCTTTCCTCTGAATCAACTCAGAGTCTACGATGATTCTGTATATGGTTGTTTTCTATTTACTGCATTTTTTATTGGTTTAACTAGATAGACTTGTGTATTTTTCAATCTATCCATGTAAGCATGCCCCCCCTCCCATATCTATCTATCTATCTATATACACACACACATACTGTACATATATGTACATACACACACACACTATATTGTCAAAAGTTTTGGGACACACCTCCAAATCATTGAATTCAGGTGTTCCAATCACCTATATCCATGGCCATAGGTGTATAAAATCGAGCAACTAGGCATGCAGACGGCTTCTACAAACATTTGTGAAAGACTGGGTCACTCTCAGGAGCTCAGTGAATTCAAGCATGGTATCATGATAGGTTACCACCTGTGCAATAAGTCCATCCTTGCTACTAAATATTCCATGAACAACTATTAGTAGTATTAGACCAAAGTGGAAGCAACTGGGAACAACAGCAACTCAGCCATGAAGTGGTAGGCCATGTAAAATGACAGCAGGGTCAGCGCATGCTGAAGCGCACAGTCACCAACAGTCTTCAGAGTCAATAGCTAAAGACCTCCAAACTTCATGTGGCCTTCAGATTAGCATAACAACAGTGTGTACGAGCTTCATGGAATGGGTTTCCAAGGCCGAGCAGCTGCATCCAAGCCTAACATCACCAAGTGCAATGCAGGGCACTGGATGGAGTGGTGTAAAGCACACCGCTACTGGATTTTAGAGCAGTGGAGACGTATTGTCTGGAGTGAGGAATCACGCTTCTCTGTCTGACAATCCGATGGACGTGTCTGGGTTTGGCGGTTGCCAGGAGACCGGTACTTTCCTGACTGCATTGTGCCAAGTGTAAAGTTTGGTGGAGGTGGGATTATGATGTGGGGTTATATTTTAGGGGTTGGGCTTGGTCCCTTAGTTCCAGTGAAAGGAACTCTTAAGGCGTCAACATAACAAGACATTTTGGACAGTTTCATGCTCCCAACTTTGTGGGAACAGTTTGGGGATGGCCCCTTCCTGCTCCAACATGACTGCACACCAGTGTACAAAGCAAGGTCAATAAAGACATGGATGAGTGAGTTTGGGGTGGAGAAACGTGACTGGCCTGCACCTCAACCCGATAGAACACCTTTGGGATGAATTAGAGTGGAGATTGTGAGCCAGGCTCTCGTCCCAAATCAGTGGCTGACTTCACAAATGCGCTTCTGGAAGAATGGTCAAACATTCCCACAGACACACTCCTGGGCACACAATAGGGGCAGTTCAGGGCACGCCGCAACATGCGGCTTCCAGGGACAGGCACGGTAGGTGGCTTGCAGATACTCGGCAGCAGGTGGCTTCCAGGGACACTCACGATAGGCGGCTTGCAGACACTCGGCAGCAGGCAGCTTCCAGAGACACTCACGATGGGTGGCTTGCAGACACTCAGCAGCAGGCAGCTTCCAGAGACACTCATGATAGGCGGCTTGCAGACACTCAGCAGCAGGCAACCCCCCAGGGACACAGCGATCAGCAGACAGGGACCCTCACGGTGCTCACCCTTCTAGGGACACAGTGGTCAGAAGGCAGGGGGCAGCTTCCCAGGGACACAGCAATCAGCAGACAGGGACCCTCAGCGGGGTCTGGGCTGTGGGGGTCTGGCCTCAGTTTAGACCCCACACAGCCATTCTCTTCTCAAGCAGGGGACCACAGGCTTGCAGGAACTCGGCAGGGTGTTGTCTGTGGGGTCTGGCCTCAGCTCAGACCTCACACAGCACCCTGCCCCGCATGGGGGATGAACTCACGGGCTGGGTCCCGCTCCGGCCTTCTTAAGGCGGATAATTTTCGGCCGTCTCAAGGCCGGAGCAGGATGCTTCCCGATTGCCCTGGCAACGTTCGGCCCAGCGCCTTGTTGCCGGGCAACAAGGCACGCCCCCCTGACTTGGGCCACGCTCTTGTGAGCGCAGCCTTGGTCTCCAGCGGGCGCAGAGCGCGGGAAGCCTCGTGCCTGCACTGCGCTTGCCGGGGGGGGGGGGACACGCTGAGACATCCCGGTGGCCTGTGCCGGAGGTCTCCTGGCAAGGGGTCGCGACTCTCCAGCAACATTGCCGGGAGAGGTGCGACCCGCACCACAGGGGCCGCTTCCTCCCATCCTGCACAGCCTTTGAAGTAGGTTGTGATAGGATGTGAGGAATCGGCAAGGGGGGAGGGAGGGGTGACAGGACAGGCAGAGGGACAGCAGGCACAGGGGGGGGGGGGGGGGGGCACACTGTGACATATATATTATATATATATATATATATATATATATATATATATATATATATATACACACACACATATATTTTATTTTTAATGTATAACTATTATTTTTGACTTATTAATATCATGGTTTTAAATGAATTTGAATTTTAATAATTTTATTAATAACTTTTATTGAAAGTAACACAACAATTGGACAGAAAATAAAATGAAATATATATAAAATTAAAGACTTAAATAGAGGCATTTTTGGTTTGAAGTCACTCGGGGGCCTTTTTGTATTGAAGTCAATGGGATGCAATTTTGCACTGAAGTCAAGGGGACGCAATTTTGCATTGAAGTCCATAGGGGGCATTTTTGCATTGAAGTCAGTGGGATGTGATTTTGCCTTAAAGTCAATGGGACACAATTTTGCAGTGAAGTCTATTATTGGCAACTTTTTTTTTTTTAATCGGCAAAACGCCGATAACCCTATTTTCGGCAGCCAATATATCAGTGCATCACTAATATAAAGTAAGGGCAATTCCTTTTTTTTGTGGTAACAATATTAGACGAATATTAGATGAAGGACAATACTTGCAGTGAAACGTCTGCATTTATGCACTGCTGATTCTGATCAGGGTAGCCATTACACACTGATGTATTCACATACACTGAGAGTTACACTTATCAGTCTCACAAAACCAACTTAAAAGGCAAGCAAAACTTTTCTTCAGACTATCTACCCTGATCACAGACAGCAGCTGCTGGCTGGAGTCATTGCATGAAGCGTGGGTATGAATTAGTAATCCGTAAGAAAAAATTTATTTATTATTACTAGCACGTCAATCACATAGTTGCATAAAAACTCCAGGTGTGGTCTTTACTGCATACTTACATTGATCCAGCTTTGACAAATACATGTATATCACAAACCTGGGAGGGGCGCTGGGGAAGCTGACAATCACTATAATAGTCGGCGCTACTACAGTGACAGCCTTGATCTTCTGGGTCCTGTGTCAAGCAGCTTCCACCTGCACATTGACCGCTTGGCACTGCCACCATGTACAGATCGCTTTGTATTTTTTTCAATGAATATTGTTCTCTGACTGGATGAGGTGGACATTGTGATGTTACCACCCCTTCTACTCACCTTGTTTCATCAGAAAACACTTTGTATACTGAAGAAAAATACAGGACATTCTTTGAATGGGGAGTGCCAAGTGAGCGAGCAGAGGAGAAGCTTTCGTTGTAGTGGCACCAAGTGCTACACAGATTGTCAGATTCCCCAGCAGAACTTCAAGTACGAGATATTCATATTTACAGTGGTCCAACTGGACCAATGTGAGTATGCAATAAAAATCATATATGGAGTTCAGCTTTAAAGCAACCTTGTCTTTAAAAAAATTCCAAAACAAGTGTACCTGCCAAATAAGAGAAGGAATGATCACTTTTCGCAGTGCTTGCACCAACAGAATGCAACTCCACTCAGTAGAAATCCACTGCTGATATCTGCTGGGAAACCAACATTTCCAGGAGTGTTGATCTCCTGGATCCTCTGCAGTGCTCATTGGTTCTGCCAACCTCCATATTGTTTCTGGGGGGTTCAGGACGGAACAGGATAGAATAACAGTTCTAAAAATATAGTACAGGCTAAGTCAGAAAAAACATGACCACAGTTCCTGGTGCTAAGGTAGTTGCTGAAGGGTACATACATGTTTCAGTATGCATCAATCTTGTTGAACCAGCTGCCATATCTTTGGACAGCCAGACACTGAGAAAAAATGGTGATAATGGTAACATAAGCTGGGTAGATAGCCAATATAAGCAATATGAACCTACAATATTTCAGATACACATCACATGGTAGACAGCCCTGGGTCCCCGAATCCCATCGGATCATGGGATTTGAGAAGGTAAAAAAAATGTACGAGGTGTGACAATTTAATTCCCAAAATGCCCGCAGCGTAGCACTGTGGTGGTGAGTCAAAGCCATTTGCACTCAATCGTGTTCTGACATGGTCTAACTTGCACTCGCCTGGGTCACAGACCAGTTGGCTCAGTTTTAAACGGAGTAGTAGAAGAAATAACACATGTGTGAGTTGTCCTATTGGCAGAAAATAAGTGACAGGAATCTGGAGCAGCTGATTAACACCAGATTTTTGGTGAAAACTAGCAAAACGGGCAAGGGAAACTTTAGCTTGATTACAACAGGCTTATGGTGAACTTTTTATTGAGAAATCAAGTATTTTTCGATGGCATAGGTGGTTTAAGGAGGGGTAGGAAGATGTCCACGATGATACAAGAAGTGGGCAGCCAAAAATGCAAAAGATGGATGAAAATGTGGACAAACTGCGAAGTCTTCGATCTGAGGGTGTAAATGATGGCAGAAAAATTAAGCATTAACAGGGAAACAGTGCGGCAGATTCTAACGGAGGATTTGGGATTGAGCAAGATTTCCGCAAAGATGGTGCCCCGAATAGAAGATCAGAAAGCACGTCATCTTTATATTTCATCTGATCTTTTGAAGCATGCAGAGGAGTTTGATATTTTCTTACAGTCCATTCTGGGAATTAAATTGTCAAATTTTGTATTATAATTTCCAATATATTATTAAAAGTGGGTTGTACTTTCCTTATTTATGTCACAATGTAAAAACAGTCATAGGGTCTTTTTCTTGTATTGCCCCTCCCAGTGCACTCCTGTGATCTATATTTCTCCTTCAATCCACAGCCCTTTAAGCCCCTACCACTGTTAACTCAATTTGGCCACATCTAACATGTGGTATAGCAAGTTTTAAGCACTACTACTGTCCCTGGCAACCCCTCCCGCTGAACCCCCAATAAAAGAGCAAGTGATCAATAAGTAATCCCCAGAGTTCATTTTAAAAATCTGGTTACCTTAATCTAAGGCAGTTCTTCCACAGATACAGTACAATGAACGAGTTTTTGTCACTCTAGGACAGGAAGTGTGTTACTGCTAGAATCGCAATGTAAAAACAAAAGAAAAGCCTGAAAAAAAATAATTGGAGCCACCACATCTAAATTGCAATATTTGATATTTTTGTTCTTGGGTTTAGACATGGTTTAGGCATTGTTGAGCAATATAATTTTCAAAGCTCACAACACAGTAATGGAAATCTTATGGAGAACAGATCTTGGCAGTCCTCTTATGTAAACAACCAGCAGGTGTTTCTAAGCTGTTAGAAACCAACTAAACCCAAACCTAGAGTCTTTATTGTGATCTTTGAGGATATTTCAGAAAAAAAATAACTTAACATTAAAGGCAAAACTTTATTTAAAAATTGTGAATAGAGTAAGGGAAGATTATAATTTCTGTCATTTTTTTGCCATCGGTGTACCATTCCCATCACATCCTGTCCCAGAGCTAGAACAGGAAGTGAGTGGAAATCCCTGTCACCATTATCACCAAAACTATCTACTCTGGTGACAACCCACCATTCTCCTTTACTTTCACTCTCTATGATAATACTAAACACAACAAATAGAGAGGGTAAATCTTCCAGTTGGGGAACAGCAGCAATAGAAAACTAACTGGAGTTCTAAAATCTCTCTACTCTACCCAAAACTTAAAAAAAAAATGCCTTCAATTATACTTTAAAGCAGGGGTGTCCAA